GGCAGCAGCATTTTGGATCAACTGAAGACGTTTTAAAGAAGTATTTGTACACCCAGATAATAAACCATTGCAATAGTCCAGTCTAGACGTGACAAATGCATGGACCAGTTGTTCTGCATCATCTTTAGATGTTTCTAATGTTAGTGATATTACGCAGGTGGAAGCACTGGAGAAATAAAAACACTTTGGTAATTTATTGAAACATTTGGACATGGTTCTGTTCAAGGACAGCTTCCCAGTTGAACCATTAATAAAGAGTGAATTTAGTGAAACTCTGCCCACCCCGATGGATGAACTAATGTAAGACCTTAAATAAAACTCATCTTTAAAGATGATCTCCCACAGGACATGTGCTGGGTGTGAGCAGAGCTGCAGCTGCTCTGGGGGTTGCGGGGTCGGGGGGGTGTCAGGATATGGTTACTGCTTGACTTTAAATTTAGGATTCAGTCGTAGACTAGAGAAGGATCAAGTTATCACTGTTTCACGCTGCAGTGCAGATATTGCACATTTGTAAGCGATGCTGTAAGAGCTGCCTTCTGGACAACTCATCGACTGTATTAGACCAACGCAGCTTTTGGGCACACTTTATTTCATAGTAACAGTATTTTCTAGTGTATTTCTTGCATACTTTTCTAATTAATTTTTAACAATTACATCTGCATTAGTTTTAAATAGTAACAATACACATAGAAAGGGCTGTTAGTTGGGTTTTGATGAGAAAAGCACCAGCCTCTGTGAGGGTCCTTAACAGACGTCAACATGATTCATGAACAGAATTTAATTATTTAGTCACAGCTTTTGTTCATAAAGTGACATTTCAGCCATTTTGTTACAGCCAGCTGCACCTTGATCCAAATAGATGCACCCATATCTTTTTGTCCCATTGATATAAAATGTGTTGTCTCTTGTCACAGAGTGATGAGGGGAATTAAAAACTACCTCCATCCGTCTGACGAACTGATAACTTGTAAAATTAATGACATACTGACATCCATTTATGTGTTTGGCTGCATCTAATCATAGGAATGGTCACTGTCATAAATTGCGGAGTCATGTCAATTATATATATATATATATACCACAAGTAAACCTGCAGTCTGAGAGCGAAGTGCTCTGTTGGGAAAATATGGAACAAAAAGATCTGATATCTCTCTGATCTCTCTAATATAAGATGGAGCTAGGTTGTTGAGGGCTTTGTAGATTAGAAGTAAGATCCGCCCTAAGTTTGTCGTGGCTCTGGACTGTCTTTGTTGACACGGAGCGTCAGGAGTGCTAGAGAACCAGTGGACGATCCTCGTACTCAGGAGGAAAAGTACAGGTCCTGTTCCAGCTGTGGAACACTGGAGCAGCTCTTTACTGTCACAAGGGTCCTGGAGGCTCATGGGAGTCTGCCCACCCAGTTTACATGAGTTGTGTTGACTTGGAACCACCACTTCCCAGCCTTTTTCTTGCTCATGCAAGATCCCTCGCCAATGAGACGGACTAACTGCGACTACTGTACAGCTAGCCCCAAATTTGGTTGTACTCAGGTGCAAAGGTCTATTCTACTCTACTCATTGTGCTGTGATCTCCAGCTACTGGAGCGATTCACAGCAGAGTGTATATAAGCTGGGATGAAGATCAGCACATGGTCCATGGTCCTCAGTTTGAAATGGGTGGATTTCCCTCTTAGAGTTGGGGGTGAGGTACTGCCTCCAGTGGAGGAGTTTTGGTATCTGTGGGTTTTGTTCATGAGTAGGGGAAGAATGGGACAAAGAGACTGACAGACAGACCGGTGCTGATTTCACAGTGTTGCATATGCTGTGCTGGTTCCTTGTGGTGAAAAGGGAGCAAAGCCTTTAGGTGATCAGTTGGTCTATGTTCCTACTCTCCCCTATGAACACAAACTGGTGGTAACTAAAATGTCAAGATTGCATATTCAGGGAGTCGATTTGAGTTTGACATTTAGTTATCCTGGAGAGACTTGGAGTAAAGCTCCTCCACATCACAAGGAACCAGTGGAGGTGGTCCGGGCATCTGGTAATGATGCGCCTTGGTCACTTCACCAGGGAGGTTATGGTGTGTGTATGAAGCTGATTGTCAGAGCAGTGCACGCCCCCGAAGAATCGATACAGTTAAACGTTAAGACATCAAGTGAAGGATGGCCACCCATTGCCTCTCATCCACTGATGTTGGGAAACTTTGACTGTGAATCAGTTGCACACTACTGAAAATGAATGAAGTGAAATGGGGGGTGCAGATCTGCTGGAGGCGCACCTCTGAGGATGAGGCATTTCCAACTGTGAGCGTGCGTTTAATAACATAATTACTGTAAACGCAGAGACACTGGGGTCTTGTAGAATACATGTAGATGACACAGAAGTTGAACTACAATTTGAATTTATAAACTGTTTGTATTGGAGAGTCAACGACAACATGAACCTCAAGCACGACTTATTGTGAAAAGTGTTTGGCCAAAGCTTCACTATTAACTGTATGAGTCAATCCTCTGTCCGTTAGCAAAATATCTCATGACCCAATGGATACATTGAATGGAATCTTAGTAGGGTGATCATTAGACGTACACATTGGACCGATTATCTTTTGAAGTCAATCCAAGATGTCCGCCACAGCAATTTGACTCACATTTAGCTCCATACCTGTTACACTGGCTGAGTTATAAATCTGAGTTTTACCTTTACCTGAGCTCATTTCTGACGTGTTCATATCTAGAACGTTACTTGGTCTGAGCATGACGTCTTGCTCTGTTTTGTGTTGTGTTCTATGTTGGACCAAAATGGCTACAACACATTTCCTAACCTAAGATAACCTCAGTGTGAAAATGTCCCTTTAAAGACAAGGCCTTCTGTTTTTCTTGTGTAGTTTACAACTTCTGCACACAAGAAAGATGGTTTGGGTGAACTACCATCTCCAAAGAAGAACATGTTTATTCTTTTTTTATTCCAGGTTCACCCATGTTCACAGATTAATGATTCTCTCTTGTTCTACAGTACCATAAAAATAAAATAAAAAATTTAACCGCATGTGCTTCTAAAGCTTGAAACCATTTTAATTTGTGTTCATTACAGAAAATCACAAGTGTTCATAAAATGAACTTAAATGTCGAAAAACTGAAAATGTCTTTTTTTGTGTTTCCTTCAGAGTTTGATTCTGCAGATTGCAGCAACCTGGCTTGAACAGGAAAAGAAAGATCTTGTTGTAGCTAAGGATGCCTACATGGCTGAGAAGTGTCCACCACCAGATCTGAGCGGAGACCTCATGGTGAGAGACAATACCCCAAGAAGCTTTTTCTACTTCTTTTTTACGGTCAATGTTTGAAATGTCTTTATTCACAACCAAAACAGGTCTAATTGTAGAAATGAATCTCGGAGTTGACCTTTTGGAGAAAGTCCTTGTTTCATCTCCACTTTTATACAGACGACTTGTTTTTATTCACTGGGAATGAACTCCCCGTGTCTTCGTTTGATCAGGAAACCTGCAAAAAGCTGAATGCCCTCATAGAGAAGATTGATGAAGAGCGGTACGACCTGGAGGCCAAAGTGGGCAAGGCCGACAAGGAGGTACGAGCCGTAAACTGGTACCAGTTCATTTGAGCTTCAGCAGTCATTTTTAGTAAAAAGTAAAAGTTATTTTTAACCTTTGTATTGTCTTTTGGGAAAATATAATCCATATAATTATTTTTGTCAGTGTTTTATGTTGTTGTTTTGTTGGTGCTGTCAGTAAACACCCCTTGATATTTTATCAGACGCTCTCGTAACCTCACAGTGACTTCACTACGCTCTTGCATTCCTCAGGGGAAACGTAGTCCACACTGGAATACATTGAAACTACAACTTCAAGTCCCATATTTATTTTAATATGAAATAACCCAGGGCTGTTCAACCAAACTGCTCAGGGGCCACAGAGTCTGAGAGCCAGCAGCTCAGGGGCCACAGTGTCTGAGAGCCAGCAGCTCAGGGGCCACAGAGTCTGAGAGCCAGCAGCTCAGGGGCCACAGAGTCTGAGAGCCAGCAGCTCAGGGGCCGGACCTCCAGCAGTTAAAGTCTTTACATAAATAAACCAAGCATTACAATAATCTCTTACCTTTTTAATTTGTTTGATCACATTGAATCATAAATGCAATAAACAGAACCCCATCCCGCTAAAAACAGTTTATGAAGTTATTGGTGGTCTGGATTGAAGTCCAGCCCGTGGGCCGCCAGTTGAATAGCCCTGACGTAACTCATCTCAGTAATGGTTTTTCTTTTTACGTCTCTCCTTATACCAAGAGGCTGCAACTTAGCCCAGATGCAGTGCGTCTGGGGGGGTCAAACTCAGGTATAAAATGTGGCCAAAATTTAAAACTTGTTCCAAACCAAGAGCCAGTTTTAGTCTTTAACTCCAGACAGATACATGACGTCTTTTCTTGATTGCATGTTGGTTTAATTTGACGATCTCTGTTGCTTTTCTGGCATCACAATCAAAGATTATGGAACAATTCAAACTCTTGGCGTCAAAGTTGACCAACTGTCATGAGAAATCTGCTCTAAATAAAGTATGGTCCGTTTTAAAGTAAAATGAGAAGTGGTAAAAGTACTTGTAAAGTATTATCTTGGGGGGCAGATTTAGCTCCCAAGCCTTGAGTTTGACACGTGGTCTGGGCTAAGTTACTGACGAGTCCGGTTTCATTAAAGTTGTGACAGTTTAGACGTAATGAGCTAAAACACACTTACAAGTTGCACATCTAAACATTAAGTGCAAAGAATAGTAATGGGGGGGTCTTAAATGTGATACTTTTGTTTCAGGCTGAGCTGTCTCTGAAACATTGACTAGTTTATTGTGTGTGGGGTGAATGGTCATAAAATAATGCACAATACACGAGTACATGGTTCACAAAACCACGAACATTTGAACCTACAGTTCAACCCACACAGGCAACAGAAGAAGAGACAAATGTGTTGCTCGTGGAACGTTTGTAAAAAATATCACTGAATATGTTTAATTTACAGGTGACACGCAGAATTATTAACACAGATTTATTGTTACTACTACCGTAATTTCTGGACTATTGAGCGCACCTGAATATAAACCGCGCACACACAAAAATAATTGTACACATAGAAGTCGTGCTTGTGCACAAGCCGCAGGTGTTCACGTTGTAACATGAGTAACATGAACGCCATCGTGCACGTTGTAGTTGTTTCCTGCTAAGACACACCTGATTTGGATAAATGGGTGATTAACAGGCTTCTGCAGAACGAGAGTAATTAAATCACTGCATCAGGTGCGTTGGAGCAGGGAAACTACTTGAACATGCAGGATGGTGCTCCTCGAGAACCAGGGTTGGAACCCCTCAAACAAATACGTACAGTAAACGTTGGTTTTCTGAACCGTGCCTGTAACGCGGCTGCTTAAAATAAATAAATACATACAGTAGCCTACCAGGAAACGCCTAGCTTACGTGCAGCAGCTCTATTTCCTTCTTCAACAGCCAGATCGATCCCCTTTAACTTGAAATGTGCATTTCTTGTGTGCGCATGAGGTGCAAAATAACTGATCTGAAGAATTTAGTGCGAGTGCGTTTGATTTACGGTAATTAGAAGGTCCATTGGTCCACAGTGACCTGTTCGGTGATTTCATTAGTCAGATTTTTTACCTTTATTTATATAAGTAGTTTCACTGAGTCACAAGAACCCATCCCTCAAGAGAGACGTACATTGGGCAGCTACATGAGCGCCTGAGTCTGATGAAGCTAAATGTTTTTGATGGCAGGAAGCTCGTTAGCCTGTCCAAAAAAAATCCATAAATTAGCCGCGGAGTTCAAAGCATGTGAAACAAGTAGTGGCTTATAGTGTACTGTATAGTACTGTATAGTACTGTATAGTGTATACTATATGTTATCGTTTGGAAATTACGATAATGAAGTTACTTTGAATTAACATTAATTAACATCAGCTGTAAAAGCTCTGAATCTAAAGCGTTTGGTCCGTCTTAGATTGAAGACCTGAAGATCAAAGTGGTGGACCTGGCTGGAGTGAAGAAGCCTGCGCTGAAGAAGGTGCGCATGTCTGCTGACGCCATGCTCAAAGCACTGCTGGGCTCCAAGCATACAGTCAACATGGACCTGAGAGCAAACCTGAAGCAGGTCAAGAAGGAGGTGAAAGAGGAGGTGAGTGTTCGGTCGGGGGGGAGGAGCGGCTCACAGCGTGTTCTCCTTCCTGCACTCACGACGATGCGTTTGTGTGTTGCAGCCTGCAGAGGCAGTCGGCGACTGGCGTAAGAACATTGAAGACAAGGCTGACAGGAAGAAGATGTTCGAGAGTGCCTAAAGATCCAAAATCTTGGACCGGTTTTGGGCTGATAGCACTTTTTTATTTCTGTCATTTCACAGTGAACTGAAATATATTTTGTTTAATTAAATCTATGTATTTCAGCCTGCTTTGTTTTAACAATTTGGTTGACAACCAATCAAAAATTTGAACCCTGATTTTTTTTCAATCCGCTGAAGATTAACAGGGCAAGAAAATTAACTCCCATGTTTCATTTTCCTTTAAAACCACTTTTATTAAATTTGACAAAATGGCAAAAAAGGTAAATGTTTACATCGGCAAGCCCCTTTATTTTACAGTTGTCTCTAAGAACAGACTTTTATCTAGCAATGCAACTTTCTGTGTTGATGCTCACTTTCCTTCCTGTTCCTAATCTTTTTTAATTAATACATTGCTTTTTATATACAGCGTTGTCATGAAATATTTCTTGATGTACATTACAAATCAGCCTAAATCCACGACACAGCTCATTTCTCTGGGTTTGTGTGAAGTGTTGAAGGAAAAAGGCCCAGTTGAAGGTCCGGATGAGATTTACACAACGAGACAGTTTTGGTTCATTTGAATCTGGACGCAGAAATGTTTCTTAAATTACTGAAAGGATGCAGCTTATTGAAGCTGCGGCACCGCCACGCACAGATAATCTGTTTGTTCAAAACTCAACTTACAGCTGAGAAGAAAACGTCACGCTTGTAAATAAAAATGACATCACATGTTTTAAAGCACAGTAAATTCATTTGGCTGTCACGGCTTCTTCAGTCGGTTTTATTGTGGTGTTTAAACGCTCAGAGGTCTGCGGGCAGTCGGAAAACACATCATAGTTGATCAGGAGACTAAAACGTTTCCAACCCAGCGTCGGCTGGTGAACCCAGTCACTTTTCTGTAACTCTGAACTTTTTCGTCAACGTGTTCTACGACTCTTATTTAAGATATGTCAGAGAAAATGTGTCATTTCATTAAGTAAAGTAAAGTAAAGTAAAGGAAAGGAAAGGAAAGTAAAGTGAAGTAAAGTAAAGTGAAGTAAAGTAAAGTGAAGAAAAGTGAAGTAAAATAAAGTGCTATGTGTTGTCATCATTGTATGTTTCTACAATGATGAACCCATCATACCTGAGATACACCCAGGTGGAGACTGGGCAGCTATGTAAGCACCCAGGGAGCAATTAGGGATTAGATGACTTGCTCAAGGACACCACGGCATGTGGGCATGGTGTGGAGTTGAGCTTGCGACTTTCCGGTCCCAAGTCGACTGCCCTAGCTCTGCATCATCGCAGTCCTGAGATTACAACCTTAGCAGGAGAATGTTTTGAATCCGTGGGAAGCCATCGGTAGTCCTCTGTCGTGTGTTCAGGAAGCTGGAAAATGAAATGTTGCCATTATCATTGGGAATGCCCATTGATCTGCAAATAATTGATATGTTGTTAACAAAACTCTTGAGTAAAAATAAAGACGACAACGTGATGGCTCCTCTATTCCACCGCGCCACAGTTAGTGCCACTTGTTATTCACAGAGGGCTGAGTGATACTAGCGGTAACAGCACTGTAAGTTCAAGTCAAGTTTATTGTCTGGCTCAGCCTTGTTCGGTTAATCTACCTGGATTATTGAGCTTGCATCAGGAGGTTTCTTCAATAAGTGAGACGTTGCGCTTCAGTCTCGGTGAGCGTTCACACAAACGGTGATGTTCCAGGCGTCATTTGACGCTTCTTTCCTGCTTGAAACGCAGCAGTCCAAGGACTACAGCTGAATTCATTCATCTCAAAAAGCTTGGTGGAAACGGATGAAGGTAAAAACCAACAGTGTTACCACAGTCGGCACTAGGGATGATTGTAGCAGAAGATTTTAAGGGCAAAACACAGGCGGTGTATGACACGGGTTAAAATTTACGCTTCCAGAATTTTTTATAACGTCAACAGTGTCTGTCTGCCGACCGAGGCTAATTGCAGTGGTGTCTCGTAACACTGTTCTAGCATTAACACTTTTGAGACAATGCAATTAATATGTTCTCAATCCTAACTTGAATATCCGAGTTTCAGTTCTTCTTCAATGCAAGTTTGTAAAAAGTTCTTATGACGTCATAGTTCCTACATGTGGGGTCGTCTCCTCCATCCCAGCAGAATAAACGAAGCAAAGCAACTTTCCATTTCAGTGGACGCGTGTGAGAGATGGATAAGTTGTGTACTGTTGGGTTAACGGGTGGAAAAACTAGATGAATTGGTAAAAACAAGTTTTCATTATATCCTGAAACAGAACGCATGAAGGCGCACAAACTTTGTAACTCGGCATCGAGCACCGACCTGAGCAGCTCGACGTCAACAGGAAAGACGAGCCGCCTGAAACTAACACTTTGTTAGAGGTAAAATAATTTAGGTGTAATAAATCTGTAATAATCAAAGGTGTTGCATTAATTGTGAAGGGGATGTGCTCTCCTCACGTTAACATATTTGTTTGGAGCCCCCCACATCATGAAATATTAGTGCACTCAGCACTCTATTGCTTTACGAACCAATCCATTCCACTTGAATAGAATACCCAACCACAAAAACTCCATTCCAGGTTTTCCAGGTTACTTACAACCACCACATGCCATGCAAGAATAAACGGCTCAAAACTGGAAGAGGTAACGTCAGTCCCACTGACATCTCACAATGTCCAGCTTTTGATAAAACTATTTTACTAGCCCTATAGGTCGTGTTAAATTACTGTTCAAAACAAAAAATTAGGACAAAGCTAGTTTAACAGTATTAGTTTAGGTTAGTATTCTTGGATTAACTGCAATATCTGATCCCTCCCGACGCAATGGAAATTATATTCTTTAAGAAGCAACACAGTGAAGTAGCAGAGACTCAGAGCTCTGCTGCCCAAGGTATGTGCTCTGTTCACACATGGAGAGATGTTGGTCAGGATACTCCTTGTGCCGTGTTCAGCTGAGGCTGAAAGAAGTTTGTGCTTTAAGGCTTTACTCCATGAAACGGGAACGCTTGAACAATGTAGCCGTCTGCCACATCTACCAAGACAAGACCTGATCAGGGGGACGTGAAGGACATTTGCCCGACTTGTCTGTAAATGACAGGCACATTTTTTTTTAAGCTTTGTCTAATAAGAGCAGAAAGAACTCGTTTTGTCTTTGCTTTTAGATTATGGAGAACTTGGGGGGGAGTGTTGAAGCCAAACAAGTTTTCTGGAAAGTTAATAATCAGAGATGGGGAGGGAATAGTTAAGAGAAACAATGGGAAAGATTTTAAGTCAACAGCATCTGAGCAAGGAAATCCAAAATAAAATATTCAAATCACAGAAACCGAGCTGCTCCAATAAGCATCATAATGTTAACATTTTACAATTTTTTGCACTGGAAAAATTCCATTTACAAGGGGACCCATTTTAAACTCAGTAAAAAGCCAATTAAAATGAAGCGTTCAATAAACCAAAGTAAAAACCACATTTGCTTTGAAAATCCCCTAAATAAATCAAAGTGGACCACTTCAGATCTTTTAGCAAGGTGTTCCAAGAAACAGGAGTGGAGTAAGTAAAGTCCATTTGTTAAGTTCAGTCTGCACCGAGGGAACACTGCAGGTAATGTCGAGAGCTCATGTAACTGCACTGACCACGTGATTTAAAGATGAAAATGTACCAGTGATAAACTCTACGTCATGCGTGTCAAATTCGAGGCCTGGGGACAAATGTGGCCCTCGTTGATGATGGCTGCATTTGTACATTTAATAAAGCTCCAAACTGAAATTTTGAACCACAGAGAGAAGTTTTAAACTCATTTTATTAAGTTTCATTTGCTCAGTTAAGGAATCAAACCCTGCAAGATAAATGCATAGCAAGGACAGCCACGAGACTTTTCTCCTTGGTTGTGGCCAGAAAAGGAGACAAGTCTTCAATGACATGGACATCTAAAGCAAACTTTGTAGTCAAAGCAGTGTCGAGACTTCTGGTCCTCGTTGCGGCAAACAAAGCCGGTTTCAGTATCATAGCTGGAAGAAAGCATAGGATTGATTGAGTCAGTATAGAGTTAATGTCACATGGTTGGACAAATTGTTCCGTGTCAATTCTTGCTACACTGGAACAAGTTATTGAAACTCACACGTAGAAGGTTTGTTTCGTGTCTTCAGCTGGGATCTCTTTGGCTGCAGTAACAGCCTGAATTCTTCTAGGGTTGTGACAGATTTCACGTGGTACATCTCCCTCAGCTTCTTCAAGGTTTCCCAGTCACCTGTCCCACTGGGATGGTCTCCATTGAACCACTTGGTCCAGCACAGCCTGGCACGGTCTGAGTCTCCATCTGTAGGGACAAACAAGTTTGAGATCATAGACCTGCCGGAGTGTGGAAAACACAGGATCACAATTTTACCAGTTTAAGTGTCCTGTTAAACCAGTTACTTGCATTCAACAGTACAGAGACTCAACATTAGCTGGATACAGAACAGGCCTTACCTTGATGACTTAGTCCCATGCAACCTGGTAAACAGTCAGAATAATGTCAATTTAGCGTTTTATTTAAAGTCAGATTGTAGAACAAACACTGGAACTTGTTGCAGAAGTGAACATACCCAGCAGAAAAACTGCAGCAATAAGACTCATCTGAGAGAAAATTTCAGACAGGGATAGTTCTACAGATTAAACTGTGCAGAGTCAAACCAGAACAAGTTCAGTTACTGACCTGACCTGACTGGTCATGATTGAAGAAATCCAATGTCAATAATCAAAAACTGTAAAGAACAAAAGAAACAGTAAATGACAAACAGTTCCAGAGTTCCTCCCAACACTTCATGCTCATAGTTATGTAATTATCAATCTAGATTATTTACCTTGGACCCAGTGAGTCAGCTCAATGATCAGAACTCTTGAACCACAGTGGTGTCAGGGGTAACTCTACCCTTTTTATAGTAGCCAGTGATCCAAGTCTCTATTTTCAGTGGTTCACTCGTCTTAGAACATTACCACTCCTATCTACAGTATATAAAACCTAATCTGCTGCACATCCTTTCCAGCCTAATCCCTCTGTCTCGCCAACTGGTACAAGTCCTTTGTCGTATTTAATTTACAGCCTACC